GAAGGCTTTTTAAGATATCTAGATAATAATTACCATATGGTTCTCACTTTAATTGCCATTAAAAACTAGTAACTTCTTTTCCTCCTGACTTCTGCTTCCATTATAAAGAGAACACAATCTGTCAGGAGGGTCGACACCAAGCCCCCAGATGGAGGACATCCAGGTCCCTTGGATAGGATGGGGGCAGGGGCAGCAGCGGGGGATGGAGATAGGGGTGCGGGAAGGGTACCTTTTCTGCAATGCCATTTTCCGTGGTGTAGATCGCCATGAGCTCAGTGTCTTCATTGTCCTGCTCGCCACTGGACGTGGCACCTCCATTTATCACCACCTGAAGAGAAACACTTCACTTAGAGGTCATTTCAGCACACACCACTCTGATGTATGGAAACATTTCCCCCCCCCAAAAAAGCCTTTTGTAATTCTGCTAAGAGCCTCACACTATGCATTTTTCACCTATCAAAGTGGCAAAATTTTGGGGTTTCTTAAACTCCAGGAGAGCATGAGACAGTGACCAGGTGTTTGGTTCTGATGGTGGAGAAGTGTACCCCATGTCCCGTAGGGTGAGGCTGCATGAGGAAGAGGCTCAGCTGGGAACAGCAGGAATGGAACATCCCAGAGGAACCTCAGCCATGGAAGGGACCCTGGCACCCTCCAGGGCCAAGGAGGCCCTGCTGTGTTTCTGTGACCAGGCCCTTGCTGAGCGGGCAAAAGTGCCCTAAGCTACCTTGGTTAAGATCCCTTCCCGTAACCACCAGAGGATGACTTCTCATGAGGCACCACTACAAGTGGTAAACGTTCTAGTTAGAGGAACTCAAGTGCTGCTGTTCACCTACTCAGTAACTTTTCATTATTTATTCCTTTCTCACTGCAATTAAGTAAACTAGCCCCCTGGTGTGCCCCTTTGTGAGTAACATCATCTTGGGTTCTGCCAGTCTGGAGCAAGAACCTTAAGATATTTTCACTCTTCAGCCAAACAGCTCCATTTCCAGGAATCTATCCAGAAGAAACAATACTGAAAACAAGAAAGACTTTCACTCAAAGAACTAGTTATAAACCATTTACACCCAGAATGCTACAAGGGAAATGATTTTTAGAGTTTGTAATATCAAGGGAAAATGCATATTTAATAATATTAAGGTAATTGTACATACAAATGGTAACTACATTTTTAAAATACAGATGAAAAAAGACAAAGTATATAAAAAGTTCAAATTTTGGCATTGCGAAATACAGTAAAAGAAGTAAAACTGAATTGATGGCCTAGGAGAAAATATAGTATGACATACAGAAAAAGGGTTAGTGTCGCTAACTCATAAAGAACACCTCAAATCAATAATAATAATCCAGGCCAGTTGTGGTGGCTCATGCCTGTAATCCTAGCACTCTGGGAGGCCGAGGTGGGCGGATTGTTTGAGCTCAGGAGTTCGAGATCAGCCTGAGCAAGAGCGAGACCCTGTCTCTACTAATAAATAGAAAGAAATGATCTGGACAACTGAAAATATATATACAGAAAAAACTAGCTGGGCATAGTGGCACATGCCTGTAGTCCCAGCTACTCGGGAGGCTGAGGCAGAAGGATCGCTTGAGCCCAGGAGTTTGAGGTTGCTGTGAGCTAGGCTGACGCCACGGCACTCTAGTCTGGGCAACACAATGAGACTCTGTCTCAAAAAAAAAAAAAGAAGAAGATGCAAGTTCAAACTCTAATGAGAACACTTTTTCTACCTACTAAATTGGCCAAGAGCCCAGTCTGACCACATTCTGCTGCCAAGCATGCAGGGCAACAGGCATGCACACGCTGCTGATGAAATTACCCCAACAGAGGGCAATTTGGGTACTCTTCAATTTACTAAGTCATATCCCCTCCAACCCAAAATCCCTCACAGAAATTTATCCTCCGAGTACATCTGAGTGACATCACTCGTGTGCAAGGTTATTCACTACAGTGCTACAGGTGCATACGGAACATCGTCCACAATATGTCAGTAAGTGAAAAGAGCAAGCGCAGAGCTACAGACACTCTGCAGGTGCTCCCATAGCCTTCTGCAACACGAGGCTGCTCTCCATAAATGGAGCCAGATGAAATTAGGGCTGCCGGTAATGACAGGTGCAGACCTGGCTGGCAGTGCCTCCAGTTCTCCCTCCATTCCTTCAAATTGCTATCTGAGCCAGGCATTTTCTCTGCAATTGTGACTTCTAAGAGTTTTGTGAGCCACTCTAAGACAGCTGATGCAGTATCTTTGATCATCAGTATTGCTCAACAGAAATAAAGTGGGTTGGGAGGAGAACAGATGCTCACAAAGGAAAGTGTATCAGTGGCGAAAGAACGCTGGTGGAAAAGTGTTCTGCTTCACTGCAATTCAAAATTAAAGCAATCAGATACAATAAGGTTAACTTACACTAGGCTATCATTTATTATAGCAAAGAATTAGAAATGAGTCAAGGTCCAAATGAAAGTGGCAAAGTTAGATCCAAGATTTGCTATTATTTCTCCACAATTACAAGTTACATTTTCAGTAACACTGAGATGCCAGGATATGATATGAAGTTAAAGGGCTTTATAAAACAGATTGTGTGTATATGTGTGTTGATCAGAATTTTGAAGCAAATATTTGGATGTTCTTTTATAAATCTCTGGAAAGAAATACATCAAAATATTAGCATGCTGTTTTTCCGGCTAATGAGATTTTAAATGACTTGTGTTTTCCTCATTATACCATTCTATATCTTCTAAGTTTTTTGCAGTAAACATATTTCCCTTGTAAATGAAGAAAGTTATACAAATAATGACACAAGGACAGAAAATAAACATATGCAAACTATAAAAAGAAACAGTAAAATAACTTATCAGTTTTATCGCTTCTTCCATTTCAACTGACAACACATTTTGTATCATAAAGCTAGAGAGAAATATGGATGCTTTGATACCTATACAATTTAAGGGAGCGGGGGGCAGGGTGGGAACAACTGGGTAACTACTGCCTTGCAACCTCCAATATCATACCTTCCTCCTCAAGTGCTTTACAGCAAATCCTAATAGGAATGAACTTTTTCTCCAACAGAATTAAGGGCTTAGATTACGGTAAAGAAATCCATCCGAAATATCTTACCCCTAACCATTAAAACTCAGAAGCCTACCTACCTAGCTTAAGCAAATACAAGCTAGGAGTGAATGAGGAATTTAGAAGTAGGGGGGGTTCAGCTAGAAGAAAAAGAATTCTACAGCAACCCAGGAAATTCAAAAGGCAATGGCAATCAGGGGTTAGGCAGGAGCAAGGCTGTGAGGCAGGGAGATCATATGGAGGTTATCACAATGATCCGGGCAAGAAACAACGACCCACAGAGAGCAGTGGCAGCAGGGATGAAGGCAGGTGGGCCACGTGAGTTAGGGAAGGCAGGAAGCCCTGCCAATACTTCTGTGGCATTCCTGTTGCAGCACATAACAAGAGCAGAAAGGGCAAGAGGTCCTACAAGGCCCTTTCCAAGACCAAAATTCTGTAAACCTGGCCTTGTGCAAAAGCAAGAGATAATCGGATAAAATGCTGATCAACCTTGTAACCCTGCTGTGTAGTAAGAGATTGTAGCAAATCTGTTCTTTCGTCCTCATTTGTACCAAATTGTACATCTCCCAACGGTTAGGTGTGTACTTTGTATTACTAACATCTCTCATTTAAAACTACCAAAACTCTATTTAAATGAGATGTACACTGCAATATAATAATCTGAAACTTCAAAACCAGACCAAAAAAAATTAGTTTTTAAGAACATCAGAAACTTAGAAAAAAAAAGGGGGTGAGGAAAAGAATCTCTGACCATGCATAAAAATCTTTATTTGCATCCTATCATTTTTTTTTTTTAAGACAGAGTCTCACTGTTTTGCTTGGGCTAGAGCGCCATGGCGTCGTCTTAGCTCACAGCAACCTCAAACTGCTGGGCTCAAGCGATCCTTCTGCCTCAGCCTCCCGAGTAGCTGGGACTACAGGCATGCGCCACCATGCCCGGCTAGTTTTTTCTATATATTTTTAGTTGTCCAATTAATTTCTTTCTATTTTTAGTAGAGACGGGGTCTCGCTCTTGCTCAGGCTGGTTTCGAACTCCTGAGCTCAAACAATCCGCCCGCCTCGGCCTCCCAGAGTGCTAGGATTACAGGCGTGAGCCACCGCGCCCGGCCTGCATCCTATCATTTTGATGTTTTTATTTCAAAGCATATATTGGTACATGATTTATGACACTTTTTTTCCCAATATATACATTTTAAAGCAGAAAGGGCTGCTCATCTTGGTTGTTCCATTTTGACCTGTCAAGAGCATCCCCTCCCTGAAGTCATGGCCACTATGCAGTGTATTCAAACTCTCATCTTACAAAAAGAGGAGAATTAAACCAATTCCCTGGGCTGACTCTAGGAAACAGTCTTTCTTCATCCTCAGACTCTTTAAGTCACACTGTCAATCCCAAGATCTATTATTTTTACAGAAAGAGAACATTTTCCAAGACAATGATTATTATCATTCAACTGAGACTTTCAATTTTAAGTCTAACAACTCTGAACCCTTTATTTAGGGATATACAGGAAGGAACTTCACAGCAACTGGTATTAGAGTCATAAGAACAAGGATGAATCCGGGGCTGCTTTGCCTGGTTTTTAGAATAGGACTACTTGTACCAAAAAAAAACCTTTCTGCCTTCTATTCATTGCTGAAAATGAGCATGTTCAAATCTCCCATCACACAGTGGGGGCTTTAGAGCAATCAAAGCTGCCATTAGATGGTCTCTTCCCCCACCCCTTCCCCACAGTCTGTCAAGATCACCTGTCTTAAAAGAACGTGGAAGGAAAGGAAGAAGGAGGAAAGGAATGAAAGGAGCATTGGTCTCTTGGTAGCTGCCCTGCTCCTCCACTGCTTTGCTGCACCCCTGCATCTCCACACAGTGCAGCTCTGAGCCGCCCCCCTGGCCTCTCTGCCCCCTCCCCTCCCTACAGGCTCAGCACACCCATCAGGCCAGAGCCTCCCAGGTCCCAAGGTAGCTTCCCACCTCCCTGAGGCTCCTTCCAGGGCAGCACCTTGTCCCTTTTTTCCCAAAGCTCCAGGCTACACCTCTAGCCACCCCCCTCCCCTGTGGCTCCTCCCAACCTCTCCCTCCTGGATTGGGGTTGCTCCTCATAGACCTTCCTGTGCCTGGAACAGGCCTCTTTTTCTACGTGTCATTATCTCCTTTCTCTTCTCTATAGACTTTCTCACAGTCAGTCATCTTCTATCAAGTACTTAATTCTCAGACTTTCCTTTTTATTACCTTTAATTTGAAAGATGGGGCCCATGTCTTTATTGATGCTGATTAAACCCCCAACACATGAATGGTGAATGGGGAAAGCTCTCCATTTCTTTGACTTGCTGGATTATAAAAGTGGTCAAATTGGGCATCGGTGTACATTTTATAGGAAGAGGAAAATTTGTAGTAACTACAGCGGGTGAGGGGGAGTGGACTCAACTGTTTTATGTCCAATTCTATAACCATCCAAATAAATTTTCTTTCAAATGTTTTATTGTGTTTTCTAAA